ACAAGGGCGTATTGAAGATCTCGATTCTTATCTGCTATACGGGCTGCCAAAGTCTTCAGGAATCTGCTGCACTCCGGCGCACTCTGACCATTCGTTGCGAAAACCAGAGGGGTAAATGACCCGCGATCCACCTGGTTAATCCGGTCAGCATACTGTCGCTTCTTCTGGCGCTCATGCTGGGACAACTGACCCGCCACTTCCGGTCCAGACAGCAAAGACGGCCTTGGGTGAGTCACCCGCACATCAAAAAAGGCGTTTTGCTGCCTGGTCCAGAAGCCACGAGCCCGTATGTCCACACGAGCGCCATCAGCTGAGCTGCCAGAGACTGCCTCGCCCTGGAGTGGCATCAGCGGTGGCTCGATCGCCACATCACACACGACGCTGCCGAGGGCGTCCGCAAGGAGATCCCTCAACTCATTGTGGCGCTGCGTTGGGTAGCCTCCACTGGGGCAAGTGAGTGCGTGATGGCTTGACATCTCCCCTCCACACACACAGGACAATGCAACCCCATCCAGCGATAAATCATACCGCAGACAGAGTGCATCCCTGAAGTCAGATTTATTAAATACTGACCCAGGTATGTGCATGGAAGGGGGAGTGCCAAGCCAAGTGGATACACCACCCTCACCTGCCACATCCACAAGGAGGCGCTGCTGATCCGACAGATCAGGCTTGATCCCAGTCAAGATGTCCAGCTGCTGAGACCGGCGTCGGCCACGAGCCTGAACTGCCAATGCCTTGCTGGTTGAAATTACGTCGGCGACTCGACGCTCGCCCAGACCGACCACCACACACGTCACCATAGGGTCTATCGCATCGCAACAGAGCAGACGCTCAGCCTCGGCACGCACACTCCCGATTCGCATAGCGAGACCGCCGTTTCGTAGGGGCAGAGACAGTAGCTGACGAAGCACACCGTCAGGCCTGAATGTGTGGCCAGTCAGCGCCGGCAGCAGATCGTCATTGATGGCCCGGTCCAGAGGTGAGTACACGGCTGGGTCGGCAGGGACCACACGCTGTAAAAAGGTCCACCGGGATTGCAGAGACGCAACAAAAAGGCGATAAGCCGCCTGCGGTTGCGTCACAGCCAAGCCAGCAAGGCGCTTCACCAACCGACACATGCCCGCAACCCGATCCAATACAAAGTCATTCTGAAACTGTTGGCTGCCAATGGCTCCACCCAGATACCGCACACCATAAGTCTGGATCCTGACGCCCGTGCCAACGAAAGCCTCCTGTGCCTCAGCCAGAAGATGCGGTCGGACAAGCAGCACAGTTTTCTTGGCATTGGGGTAGTATCCGTATTGAGGGCCGGCCTCCTCAATGGCAGACCAATACCGACGCAGTGGTTGTATCTTGTCGGCAGCCGCATCATCATCTGCGTACCAGATTTGAGCTGTTGACTCCGATGCTGAACCAAGCTGTGCAGCAAGAGGAACGGTGGCCAATGCGTAAAACGCCATTGCCAGAGGGTCCCCCTGGCAAGTTCCCTCGCGCGAATACAATACCTCTCCGCCATCGAGGTAAAGTGGTATGTCGGCCTGGTATGTATTTACAAACACTCGACCGGCTGCAGGGCAAACCTTTGGTATGTTGTTGATTGCGGCTGCACGGTTCAACGCATTAAACGCATTTGAAGCGTCAACGAGGAGAATGGCAGTGTCCTCATCTCGCTCGTACAAGCCAGTGAGGGCTTGGACAGCAACCTCACAGGCGGAGGGGACGCCGACACACAGCTGCCGTGGGACAGTGACGGCCGCAACGTCACGCTCGATCACGGCCATGATCACCTTCCCGACCACTCTCCGGAAAACCTCACCGATCGCTATCGGTCTTACGCCAGGTTGCTTGTCAAGCGGTATTAGTCGACCGGCGAGGAAAGCTCGGAGATGAGATGGGTCAATCTCCTCCACGCACAAACACCTGGCCATGTGGGCAAGGGATGTGCAGAGTGCCTTCGACGCCGCACCGTACATGGAAGCCATCCGCCGCCAAGCCTCCGAATCCAGTGCCGAAGGGCCAGCAGCGCCCTTCATCGCCATGATGGTAGCTCGTACCTTTGTTGATGTTATGGCCTCATAACGCACGTTATCCGGTGAAGGCGGACCGTCAGGCAGCAGAACGCTTGGCTCAGGGGGAACAGGATCCGGATGCTTTGCCCTCAACGTCTCAAGTACAGTTTTTCCATCCACAATAGATGAAAGAGACAAGACACCACCACCACCACCCTCCTCTACGTAGTGGGCAGCCGTGCCAAGTCGATCACCATAGACCAGCTTAGCGAACTGGACGTCTTCTAAACCACCACCCGCAGAGCCACCAGAATGAGGCATCGGCAAATGCGCCTGGATGCACCGAGACTCCCGCAGCAGGGCCGATAAATTGCCAGCTGACCACAAAGAAAGCCTCTTTCGTAGAAACTTCCTGTGGTCAGCGGCGGCTGAGGTGTTGAACGGCCTCTGCAGCAGAAGGTGGCACGCAACGACTACGGCAGACCACGCAAACGCCCGAGCCCCTGATCCATCTGTGAAAAGGTCAATCAATCTGGCAAGTTCCTTGACAAAGTCCTCACCTTCAGCGCCGAAGGGGACGATAAATAAATTCCTTTTCCAAGACACAGCCTCACTGTAGGCCGAATCCAGCAACTGTGCAGCCTCTCCACTCCGCAGAGCCCAGAACCCACCTCCAGGGACAGCATCGGCACTACTACTACTACTACTACTACTACTACTACTACTACTACTACTACTACTACTACTACTACTGCTGTTGCTGCTGCTGCTGCTGCTGCTGCTGCTGCTGCTGCTGCTGCTGCTGCTGCTGCTGCTGCTGCTGCTGCTGCTGCTGCTGCTGCTGCTGCTGCTGCTGCTGCTGCTGCTGCTGCTGCTGCTGCTGCTGCTGCTGCTGCTGCTGCTGCTGCTGCTGCTGCTGCTGCTGCTGCTGCTGCTGCTGCTGCTGCTGCTGCTGCTGCTGCTGCTACTACTACTACTACTACTACTACTACTACTACTACTACTACTACTACTACTACTACTACTACTACTACTACTACTACTACTACTACTACTACTACTACTACTACTACTACTACTACTACTTGCCTGTTAAGTCCGGTGGTCTCTCAATTCCTGCCATTGGGCCTCATTCAGTGCATCAGAGGACCTCCAGTATGGCCTCGGCACGGCCGGTGATTGATTTGCTTCGTCGCCCTGATGCTGACATTGCTCCGGCTGATTTGCAGGCGGAGGTAATAGCGTTGTGAAATGCTGAACGTCGGAGAATGGCTACTGCGGCTAAGGAGGCTCAGGTTGCTTTGCGTCCTGAGCTCAGCCCATGTCAGCGAGTGCTGTTGGAGATTGCTGCTGATGCTGGCGTGTCCAGTTGGCTAACGGCTGAGCCTCTGGCTGTGAACGGCTTTGCGCTAAATAAAGCATGTTTCCGGGATGGTCTCGCCCTGCGCTATGGCTGGGGTATTGATGGCCTCCCACCAACTTGTGTGTGTGGTAGAGACATGTCTGTCGACCATGCATTGACATGCCCTACAGGGGGCTACCCCAGTCTTCGACACAATGAGCTTCGTGATGTGCTGGTGGAGGTGATGACTTCTGCCATCCCGGATGTTCAGACAGAGCCACCGCTTTTGCCGTTGGATGGTGAACAACTTCACGGCGCTACCGCTAATCGTGCTGCAGAGGCTCGATTGGATATCCGTGCAAGGGGCTTTTGGTCGCCACAGCAAGATGCATTCTTTGATGTGAGGGTCACTCACCCCTCGGCGTCTTTGCTGTCGCGACAGGAAGTCCTTGCACAGATTTCCCGGAATGAACATCAGAAGAAGCGGGCCTATCTTCAGCGTGTTGTCGATGTCGAGAGGGGGTCATTCACTCCGCTCGTATTCTCGACAAACGGTGTATGTGGCACGGAGTGCTCTCGTGCATTGAAGAACATTGTTCAGCTGGTGGTTAACAAGCATAGTGACCTCCAGTACGCTGTTGTGATGGCACAGCTACGCTGCAAAATTGCATTTGTTTTGCTGAGGTGGTCAATCACGTGCCTCCGTGGTTGCAGAGCGTCTTACTTGAGGAAGAGAATAGGCCCATCTTTTCTCGACCAATGTCGCCTTCTGTCCATGTAACCGCCTTCGGTATTCATATGTTGGCCTATTTAACATTGGCATGCTCTGCGGATTTGTAGGCATGCTAGGCAATTTAAATATTATCCTGCAAAGTATTTTGTAGGTGCTTGACTACTATACTACGTCATGTATTACAATTGGTACATGACTTAATAATAGCCGTTTGGCATGGTACAATAACCTTTTTTGTTATATTTTTTATTTTTAATGGCTTTCTCTTCTTCCTCGGATGGTTTACAATTATTTGTATCACAATTATTTGTGGGTTCAGCAATAAAGGATGTGACTACTACTACTACTACTACTACTACTACTACTACTACTACTACTACTACTACTACTACTACTACTACTACTACTACTACTACTACTACTACTACTACTACTACTACTACTACTACTACTACTACTACTACTACTACTACTACTACTACTACTACTGCTACTACTACTACTACTACTACTACTACTACTACTACTACTACTACTACTACTACTACTACTACTACTACTACTACTACTACTACTACTACTACTACTACTACTACTACTACTACTACTACTACTACTACTACTACTTGGAAGCGTGTTTTTATTGACCACATAAAATGATGATGCAAAGAAAGAAAAGAACACCGGAAACATAATGCTGGATTTGAAAGAAGAAGAGAAAAAGGAAGACTAAAAGAAACCTGACCAAGAGAACTCAAGCATTGCACCCAGGAGGCAAAAAATGAACTCAATCCCTAGCAGACTACTACTACTACTACTACTACTACTACTACTACTACTACTACTACTACTACTACTACTACTCACCACTGCCACCGCTACCACTACCACTACTACTACTACTACTACTACCATTACTACTACTACTACTACTACTACTACTACTACTACTACTACTACTACTACTACTACTACTACTACTACTACTACTACTACTACTACTACTACTACTACTACTACTACTACTACTACTACTACTACTACTACTACTACTACTACTACTACTACTACTACTACTACTACTACTACTACTACTACTACTACTACTACTACTACTACTACTACTACTACTACTACTACTACTACTACTACTACTACTACTACTACTACTACTACTACTACTACTACTACTACTACTACTACTACTACTACTACTACTACTACTACTACTACTACTACTACTACTACTACTACTACTACTACTACTACTACTACTACTACTACTACTACTACTACTACTACTACTACTACTACTACTACTACTACTACTACTACTACTACTACTACTACTACTACTACTACTACTACTACTACTACTACTACTACTACTACTACTACTACTACTACTACTACTACTACTACTACTACTACTACTACTACTACTACTACTACTACTACTACTACTACTACTACTACTACTACTACTACTACTACTACTACTACTACTACTACTACTACTACTACTACTACTACTACTACTACTACTACTACTACTACTACTACTACTACTACTACTACTACTACTACTACTACTACTACTACTACTACTACTACTACTACTACTACTACTACTACTACTACTACTACTACTACTACTACTACTACTACTACTACTACTACTACTACTACTACTACTACTACTACTACTACTACTACTACTACTACTACTACTACTACTACTACTACTACTACTACTACTACTACTACTACTACTACTACTACTACTACTACTACTACTACTACTACTACTACTACTACTACTACTACTACTACTACTACTACTACTACTACTACTACTACTACTACTACTACTACTACTACTACTACTACTACTACTACTACTACTACTACTACTACTACTACTACTACTACTACTACTACTACTACTACTACTACTACTACTACTACTACTACTACTACTACTACTACTACTACTACTACTACTACTACTACTACTACTACTACTACTACTACTACTACTACTACTACTACTACTACTACTACTACTACTACTACTACTACTACTACTACTACTACTACTACTACTACTACTACTACTACTACTACTACTACTACTACTACTACTACTACTACTACTACTACTACTACTACTACTACTACTACTACTACTACTACTACTACTACTACTACTACTACTACTACTACTACTACTACTACTACTACTACTACTACTACTACTACTACTACTACTACTACTACTACTACTACTACTACTACTACTACTACTACTACTACTACTACTACTACTACTACTACTACTACTACTACTACTACTACTACTACTACTACTACTACTACTACTACTACTACTACTACTACTACTACTACTACTACTACTACTACTACTACTACTACTACTACTACTACTACTACTACTACTACTACTACTACTACTACTACTACTACTACTACTACTACTACTACTACTACTACTACTACTACTACTACTACTACTACTACTACTACTACTACTACTACTACTACTACTACTACTACTACTACTACTACTACTACTACTACTACTACTACTACTACTACTACTACTACTACTACTACTACTACTACTACTACTACTACTACTACTACTACTACTACTACTACTACTACTACTACTACTACTACTACTACTACTACTACTACTACTACTACTACTACTACTACTACTACTACTACTACTACTACTACTACTACTACTACTACTACTACTACTACTACTACTACTACTACTACTACTACTACTACTACTACTACTACTACTACTACTACTACTACTACTACTACTACTACTACCTGGATTTGACTCGAGTTTGGATTTTTTCTTCAATCATCTTTCCGATCGCATTATCATGGATTTTCAATAAAGTTCTTTGACTACTACTACTACTACTACTACTACTACTACTACTACTACTACTACTACTACTACTACTACTACTACTACTACTACTACTACTACTACTACTACTACTACTACTACTACTACTACTACTACTACTACTACTACTACTACTACTACTACTACTACTACTACTACTACTACTACTACTACTACTACTACTACTACTACTACTACTACTACTACTACTACTACTACTACTACTACTACTACTACTACTACTACTACTACTACTACTACTACTACTACTACTACTACTACTACTACTACTACTACTACTACTACTACTACTACTACTACTACTACTACTACTACTACTACTACTACTACTACTACTACTACTACTACTACTACTACTACTACTACTACTACTACTACTACTACTACTACTACTACTACTACTACTACTACTACTACTACTACTACTACTACTACTACTACTACTACTACTACTACTACTACTACTACTACTACTACTACTACTACTACTACTACTACTACTACTACTACTACTACTACTACTACTACTACTACTACTACTACTACTACTACTACTACTACTACTACTACTACTACTACTACTACTACTACTACTACTACTACTACTACTACTACTACTACTACTACTACTACTACTACTACTACTACTACTACTACTACTACTACTACTACTACTACTACTACTACTACTACTACTACTACTACTACTACTACTACTACTACTACTACTACTACTACTACTACTACTACTACTACTACTACTACTACTACTACTACTACTACTACTACTACTACTGAGAACGTTGACTTTATTTGATAACAAACTGGGTGCCGGAATGAAGAATTCAAAAAACGGAAGCAAAGAAAGCAATGGTGACAAATCCAATCAAGTATATCGTAGATAGGAAAATCAAATCAAATAAATCGGAAAATCCAATAAGAAAATAAAATAAAAGAATCAAGTCAACTATCGAATACCAAAACAAAGAGTAAACCCGCATCCGCAAACACAATCAAAGCAGCACCGTTTACCCAACTCATCCAACAACCCAGACAAGAGAAAACCAGATAAGGTACACAAAGAAAACGGGCAAGTCAACCACCAAATCATGACCAACATATAATAGCAAAATTGCTACAACAAAAATACAGACAATATCATGAAACAGTTAGGTCAGGCATGCTAAACAGCCAGGTGGGCACGGGCCCTACACTCCACCACAAAACCGCCATGACCAGCACCCATGAGCCTACTACTACTACTACTACTACTACTACTACTACTACTACTACTACTACTACTACTACTACTACTACTACTACTACTACTACTACTATTACTACTACTACTACTACTACTACTACTACTACTACTACTACTAGTCAAAATCTTTATTTGAAAGAACCCGAAGTTATAAATATGGAAAAGGAACAAAAACGAAAAAGAGATTCAAAGCAAAACAATGATGAAGGCAATTCAAAATCAATAATCAGAGAAGGTAGCGAGAAAACAAGAAAAGAACACAATTGTAACTCCAACTCCAAAGCACGAAACAGGCATTACACTGAAGAGGGCATTCGTAATAGAAAAACAAAACAAAACAAAAAAACTAAAAAAAACATAACTGGAGATCTTTTGCAAACTGAGCAAGTCATTTAAACACGCGACAGTACACGACATTCACGAACAAAATTTGCAGAGCGCTACTACTACTACTACTACTACCACTACTACTACTACTACTACTACTACTACTACTACTACTACTACTACTACTACTACTACTACTACTACTACTACTACTACTACTACTACTACTACTACTACTACTACTACTACTACTACTACTACTACTACTACTACTACTACTACTACTACTACTACTACTACTACTACTACTACTACTACTACTACTTGAGAACGGTTTTATTCACAACACCATGAAGTAAGAGTCAAAGCAAAAAGACAACCCAATTTCGGAATAAAATAGAACACTCAATTGAAATATAAAACTTTGAACTCAAAAGCTTCACACGAAATCATCACCTAATAACAATGCCTACGGGCATGCAAAGGCGAACGGTCAGAGCTCTGGCCGTGTCAGCAGAGCCGGCGGCAATAAGCTGCAACTACTACTACTACTACTACTACTACTACTACTACTACTACTACTACTACTACTACTACTACTACTACTACTACTACTACTACTACTACTACTACTACTACTACTACTACTACTACTACTACTACTACTACTACTACTACTACTACTACTACTACTACTACTACTACTGGTGACAAGCCTCTTTTACGGGCAAAATAGCGGAAACGTGAAATCGTTAATCATTGAAGATCAATTCAATTAAAATACTACTACTACTACTACTACTACTACTACTACTACTACTACTACTACTACTACTACTACTACTACTACTACTACTACTACTACTACTGAAATGTAGTTTTATTGAAAGCACAAAGCAATGAAGATGTGAATGCAAGGAGGGCAATGAATTCAAAAGGCGAACAGCAAAATTGTAACAAAATAGAAAGATAACCAATATTAATGGCAATAGCAATGTTTATACATGAAAAAGGGGAAGGAAAAGGAAAGAAAAACATCCAAACCAGAACTGCTTGAACACCGCCAGAAATAAAACCGAGATTCGTACAAAAGAAAAAATTTCAGGACACCGGAAAACAAACTTTAGATCACATTTTGACACTATACGAGATGATGACAAAGAAAAACTATGCCCTAGAGAGCACACGGCAGTCATTCACAAAGCTCGCCGAGCCGAGCGACTACTACTACTACTACTACTACTACTACTACTACTACTACTACTACTACTACTACTACTACTACTACTACTACTACTACTACTACTACTACTACTACTACTACTACTACTACTGATGACTTCTGCCATCCCGGATGTTCAAACAGAGCCACCGCTTTTGCCGTTGGATGGTGAACAACTTCACGGCGCTACCGCTAATCGTGCTGCATAGGCTCGATTGGATATCCATGCAAGGGGCTTTTGGTCGCCACAGCAAGATGCATTCTTTGATGTGAGGGTTACTCACCCCTCGGCGTCTTTGCTGTCGCGACAGGAAGTCCTTGCACAGATTTCCCGGAATGAACATCAGAAGAAGCGGGCCTATCTTCAGCGTGTTGTCGATGTCGAGAGGGGGTCATTCACTCCGCTCGTATTTTCAACAAACGGCGTATGTGGCACGGAGTGCTCTCGTGCATTGAAGAACATTGTTCAGCTGGTGGTTAACAAGCATAGTGACCTCCAGTACGCTGTTGTGATGGCACAGCTACGCTGCAAAATTGCATTTGTTTTGCTGAGGTGGTCAATCACGTGCCTCCGTGGTTGCAGAGCGTCTTACTTGAGGAAGAGAATAGGCCCATCTTTTCTCGACCAATGTCGCCTTCTGTCCATGTAACCGCCTTCGGTATTCATATGTTGGCCTATTTAACATTGGCATGCTCTGCGGATTTGTAGGCAAAAGTATTTTGTAGGTGCTTGACTACTATACTACGTCATGTATTACAATTGGTACATGACTTAATAATAGCCGTTTGGCATGGTACAATAACCTTTTTTGTTATATTTTTTTTATTTTTAATGGCTTTCTCTTCTTCCTCGGATGGTTTACAATTATTTGTATCACTACTACTACTACTACTACTACTACTACTACTACTACTACTACTACTACTACTACTACTACTACTACTACTACTACTACTACTACTACTACTACTACTACTACTACTACTACTACTACTACTACTACTACTACTACTACTACTACTACTACTACTACTACTACTACTACTACTACTACTACTACTACTACTACTACTACTACTACTACTACTACTACTACTACTACTACTACTACTACTACTACTACTACTACTACTACTACTACTACTACTACTACTACTACTACTACTACTACTACTACTACTACTACTACTACTACTACTACTACTACTACTACTACTACTACTACTACTACTACTACTACTACTACTACTACTACTACTACTACTACTACTACTACTACTACTACTACTACTACTACTACTACTACTACTACTACTACTACTACTACTACTACTACT